ACGTGTACCTGCTGCCCCCGGTGCGCCGGGGGGCCCCTTGGCTCAGGGCGCACGGAGCCTGGGCAGGTGAGAGGCAAGGGCCCTGTGCCCGGTGGGGAGCTGGGGGCCGGCAGGAACGCGGGAACCAAGATAGATGACAGGCGAGGGCCCCCGATCCGGGCAGAGGCAGAGGGGAGTTCTGGAAGCAAGAGAAGTGAAGGCTGGGCCAGCCAGGGCGAGGCGGGCATGGAGGCCCCGAAACTGTACAGGTGAGGGGAGCAGGTGTCAGAGGCCAGGCAGGTGAGGGATGAGGACAGGGCGGGGTGGGGGTGGGTCTCCGCGGGAGGGGCTGAGGAGGGGCTGGGCAGTGCCAGGCCACCCCTCCTGCTCATCCTCCTTCTCTCCGCTCCAGTGGTGACAGGAGCCACCAGTGGCATCGGCAAGGCCTATGCACACGAGGTGAGCCCGGGATCGGAGCTGGGTGGGCGGTGGGCGCTCCCGCTGTCGGGTTACCTGTTGCCAGGGGCTCCTACTAGACTGGGAATTGTGTGTGTGACCTGGTTCCCTCAGACCCTCTCGCCTTCCGGAAGCCCTCCCTCTCCTCCCAGCCTGGTTCACGGGCGTACACTGGATCTCTACAGCCTCTTGACATCCCCCATCAGCGCCCTGATTCATTCATTCAAACCATATTCATTGCCCTAGCTGGTGTTGCTCAGTGGGTAGAGCATTGGACTGCGGACTGGAAGGTCCCGGGTTCAATTCCAGTCAAGGGCACATGCTCAGGTTGCGGGCTCGATCCCCAGAAGGGGTCGTGCAGGAGGCAGCCGGTCAATGATTCTCTCTCATCATTGATGTTTCTATCTCTCTCTGCCTTCCTCTCTGGAATCAATAAAAAAAAATATTTTAAAAAAAATTAAAAGAAAAGATATTCATTGACCACCTCTGTTGCCAGGCATCTTCCAGGTGCTGGGAGGAAAGCAGTGACCAAAATAGATTTACAAAATGAAAAGAACCTCGCCCTCATGGAGCTGATGTTCACTAGGGTGAGGGGAGGCAAGTGTGAAGAAAAGATAAATACATAAAATGTAGTGTGTCAAAATGGCTGTAAGGGTTAAGGAGAAAAATAAACCGTGAAAGGAAAACAAGCAGCCCTGAGGATGTGCGGGTTCCAATTTTTATGGAGGGTGCTCAAGAGACGGTGTCGCTGAGAAGGCAACCGTGAGAAAGGACCTGATGGAGGTGCTGGTCATGGGGATACCTGGGAGAAGGGGTTTCTGGGGAGAAGACAGAGCCAGTGCAAAGGCCCTGGGGTAGGAAGCATTGTTACTGAACCAGAGAGTCCCCGAAACTGTCCAGGTGACCAAACGTTAGACACTGAACTGTGCAGTGGGGACATTAAACCAGTTTATTGGCAGGGCATCAAGGCAGGAGAATGATGAGCTGTCACTCAAAATCCAAACTCCTTGATGGTTTTTCATCAAGGTGTCTACCTGATTTTTTCCTACAAAACAAATAAACAAATAAAAACAAGGAAATTAATATGAAATGATCATTATTCAAATGCCAATAGGCTGTGTTCAACCTGAAAAAAATCATTTTCCATGAGAATTACATTTAAAAAAATATATTTTTATTGATTTCAGAGAGGAAGGGAGAGGGAGAGGAAGAAAGAAACATCAGTGATGAGAGAGAATCTTTGATCAGCTGCCTCCTGTACGCCCCCTACTAGGGATGGAGCCCGAAACCCGGGCATGTGCCCTGACCGGAATGGAACCATGACCTCCTGGTTCATAGGTCGATGCTCAACCACTGGGCCACCCTGGCCAGGCCATCAAGGGTATTTAAAGGCAAAGATTGAGGGTTAGGGGTCAAGGGCAAAGCTGATAGGTTAGTTTTTGTGCAAACTTCAGTGGTTTCCCTTCGTTTCATGAATTTAGTTCCTGAGGGCATCTTGTCTGGTGTCTTTGTGACTGTGGTTGATTGAAGAACCAAGATTCTGCAACATACCTCATAATTGTGTCAGTGATGTTATCTTTAAAGCAAAAGGCAGAAGCTAACCATCTTGCGATCAGTGTTATGGCTTAAGCAATCATTGCTTTGAGAGTAACTAGCTGTATTTTCTATTATCTCAAGCAAAGTGTACTTTAAAATATATATATATTTTCTTGATTTTTTACAGAGAGGAAGGGAGAGGGATAGAGAGTTAGAAACATCGATGAGAGAGAAGCATCGATCAGCTGCCTTCTGCACGCCCCCTACTGGGGATGTGCCTGCAACCAAGGTACATGCCCCTGACCGGAATCAAACCCGGGACCCTTCAGTCCCCAGGCCCACGGACGCTCTATCCACTGAGCCAAACTGGCTAGGGCCAAAGTGTACTTCTAAGCATTTTTTTCTGAAACTTGTTTACAGGCAGGCCCCTGGGGCATGACTGACGTAACTTTATTAACCTTTGGCGGTAAGCTACCTGACAACCAAAGCACTTGAATCGTGTAGTTAAAGCCTACGCCTGTGTCACTAAACTCTGTGATCCGATACCTAAATGTGTTTACTGTTGACTGTCCGTTTCAGCGTTGCTTGTTGGAGGAGCAGGCCGGAGGCCACTGTGATTGTGTCAGAGGGAGAGGGAGGGAGAGGGGAGCCGTAGGAGACGAGGATTGTGATGCAATTTCAGGGAGGATCACGGGGAATCTGGTGGGTTAATATGGGGACTTTACTCTTTACTGAAATGGGAGGGTTCTGAGCAGAAGAGGGATATGATACTGCAGGAGGTGAGGGGAACGCACGGACCTCTGCTAAGAGACTTTAAAAAAATTCAAGCAAGAGATGCTGGCAACTTCGACCAGGGTGATGACACTGGAGGTGAGAAGTAGTGGGTTCTGGATTGATTTCGAAGGTAGAGCAGACAAGATTTATGGAAAAGATTGGATATAAGGTATGACTCCAAACTTTTGACCTTATAGCCTGAAACCTTACTAAAACTCACTTCTTAGTTCTTTTTATTTTTTTTATTTTTATTGATTTTAGAGAGGAAGGGAGAGGGGAGAGAGAGATAGAAACATCAATGATGAGAGAGAATCATTGATCAGCTGCCTCATGCACACCCCCTACTGGGGACCGAGCCCACAACCTGGGCATGTGCGCTTGACTGGAATCCAACCTGGGATCCTTTAGTCCTCAGGCCAACGCTCTATCCACTGAGCCAAACCAGCTAGGGCTCACTTCTTAGTTCTTATAGCTTTTTTTTTTTTTCTTCAGATTTCTTGGGATTTTCTTTCTTTTTTTAAAATATATTTTTATTGATTTCAGAGAAGAAGATGAGAGAGAGAGAGAGACATCAATGGTGAGAGAAAAATCATTGATCGACTGCCTTCTCCACACCCCACAGTGGGGATATGAGTCCGCAGGCCGACGCTGTATCCACTGAGCCAAACCGGTTTCGGCTAAAATATATTTTTATTGATTTCAGGGAAGAAGATGAGAGAGAGAGAGAGAGATCAATGGTGAGAGAAAAATCATTGATCAACTGCCTTCTCCACACCCCACAGTGGGGATCCAGCCCGAAACCCGGCATATGGGAATTAAACCATGACCTCCCGGTTCATAGGTCAACCCTCAACCACTGAGCCACACTAGCTGGGCCTCTTGGGATTTTCTATGTAGACAATCATGCCATCTGTGAACAGATCATTTTATTTCTGCCTTTCCAATCTGTATACTTTTTATTTCTTTTTCTTGCCGTATTGCACTGGCTAGGAAATTCAATATGATGTTTGAGTGGTCAGAGTGAACATCACACTGGCTGGGCTGGGGTTGATTTTTGTAAAATAATTTTTCTGTTTATTGATCATATGCTTTTTCTTCTTTAGTCTGTTTATATGGTAAATTACATTGATTGGTTTTTCAAATATTGAAACAACCCTCAA